CGCGAGACACTTCGGTAGCAACAAGACGCTTACCGGTATTGCAAAGCACTACTACTGGCCCCACATCACTTCGTGCGACACATGTCAGCGGATGAAGAGTAGTAAGCAGAATAAAGCAAGACTACTACTGCCTCGTCCTGTCCCAGAACAGCCATGGCAAGTGGTTAGCCTGGACTTCATAGCTGGGTTACCAACAAAGTCTAGAAAGCGGGACACTTCATCCCGACACACACGAGAGCACGCACCGAGTGAACGGCACAATTGTTCGTCCGCCACATCATCTCCCAGCATTGCATTCTGACCACACTCATCTCTGTGTTCTACGTGACATCCGCAATCTCGACATCTTCCACCTCCCATCCAAACTGCAACCTCGCTTCTGCGGGCACTTCTTCGTTGAAGCTTAGGTCACCTCCATTACCTTCTGCTTATGCCTGCCAGCAACGTGGAAGATCCACAACACCTTCCACGTCCAACTATGAAGCCCTACTGAGATGCCAACACGATCTTCACTGGCCACCAACTGCCGCCGCCGCCGCCCCTCCTCGTCCATGATGAACCTTGAGTATGAGGTCGAGTCTGTGCTTGCACAACGCCGTCGTCGGAATGGCACGTTTGAGATTCTCATCCGCTGGAAGGGTTATGATCCTTCTAGGGATAGCTGGGTTTCTGAATCTGATATGGGTAACGCCCGTCGTCCTCTTCGCGACTACCTTGTCAAGCAGGGTGTTACGCATACCACCCAGCTTTGAGGGGGGAAAGTGTGAGAGTACAACCCTGTTACACTTCTTTCTCATTACTATATTTCTTCTCTATCTCGTTCTCCTTTTTCTCCTTATTCATTTGGCCTTGATCTCATCTTATTTGATTCCCTATTCCTCATCTTCCATAATCCATTGGTTTATCCTATTATTATTATTATATCACCAACCAGGCTCGAGATGTACCGCTGCGCTATATTTATTGTAATCTTGCCATAATCCATTGAAGCCAATAGCCTCGCATGGCTATACGTAGGGTGATTCTATTTCCAGAAGGGTCTATTCTCTTTTGATAGGATAAACCTAGTTACCTGACGTACCTTGGAAGTATAAAAGCGCCTTGTATCGATCGATAGTGCAACTTTCTCTCGACCATTTTTGATCCTGTAACACTCTCACAGTTGTCCGCCCATGAAGCGTCTGTGTGCCCTGTAAGAACCACTGGTTTGTGTCCTCCCAGCACTAGCCCCATGCCCGATGTTCTTGCTAGGTAACGCAACACCCTCTTAGCTGCCGACCAGTGCTGGGGTCGGTATCTTCCTGTCGCCACAAGCGGGCAAGGATACAAAGAGGGTATGCGAGATCTGGACGAGTGCAAGTCATTTAGTACATGAGGCAACCCACCAGCTCTACGTACTAACAACCAGGCTCGACGGGCTCGTCACGGAATTGAGCCGAGAGCATGTGATCTACAGGCACAGGGGTAGGCTGTGCTGAGGAGAACTGAAGGCCGGACCTCTGAAGAATGTGGGGCACCAAGTGTGACTGTGTGAGAGTGATGGTGTGCGCTGCTCTGTCCCTGGAGATCTGCAACATGAGGTAGCGGCGCAGCTCTCCTAGGTCAGTGCAGGTGTGTCTCCTCAGCGGCTCGGCCTTCACCGAGGCAAATGCGTCTCTGTGTGCAGTAGCAAAGACTAGGTCGTCTATGTAGACTAGGATGTAGAACGGGATCTGGCCTGAGCGAACGAAGAGAGATGGGTCAGTAGAAGAACGAAAACGTGAAGGTCCGCATGTATAGCACGCAGCGTGTCATGCCACTCTTGAGGCGCCTGCTGGAGACCATAAACCGGGCATCGGAGGAACCATTAGGTCCCAATATTCTATCTCTGCATCCATGGCAGCTATCCACTGAGAGACCTGGGGTCCCGAAGTTGCCTCAGCGTAGGTGCGAGGGGTCGGGATGTCAAGAGCATCTGGGTCACCCTCAAGGGCTAGCAGCATGGAGCAAAGATGAGGAGCGACCTCGGACAGGAATGCTAGCTCGTACTGCCTGTCCTCTAGGACGTCACTGCCAAGGGCAGGTGCACCCTTGGTGAACTTTGGAATAGCAGGGTTAGAGACCAGAGCAGTGGCATAGTCAAGGGTAGAGGCAAAGTCAGCGATGGCAGCGATAAGAGCGTCGAGACTCGAGACAAGAACGGACGATTCGGTAACAAGGGAGGCGAGAACACGAGGAACAAGCGGGCGAGCTGCACAAAGGAAGTTAGAGAAAGGAGGTGGAGAGACAGCGAGCAACGACTAGGGAGGCGACGGGAGAATAGGAGCATGACGAGCACGAGACGCGTGAGAACGGATTAACATAGGGTGAGAACACTGAACTGGAGAGACAGGGCGAACACAAGAGGCACGGTGTGACCTACATCAGGAGGGAGGGATCGGGTCAGGAGACAACGGGGGAGACACAGGAGGAGAATGAGGGGGAAAATGAGCCGGGTACGAGTCCGGTGGGAGGAACACAGGGCCAAAGACTGGAGGAGGAGGGGGTACAGGAGGAGGCGCAGGCGGTCGGTCCAAGGAGGCGAAGGGCAGATACCGGCGGCGACAGTTGCTGCGGCTGCTGTGATGGCTGCTGCTGCTGCTCTGCACCAATGCCAAAACGGCTAGCCGCACTACTGCAACCTCCAAGGCTCTCCACGATGGCACCCCCAGCACCAACACCCCTAGGACTAGTACCCGCGAAACTAGCACCCTCAGAAATAGAAACCCTCGCAGAGGCAACTATCAACAAATATATTTATCTATGCTGGCTATGGTTTAGGGTCGTTTTAGCCTTAGTTCGGTCAGTTCTTAAAGGGTACAGTCCTACCTTTGTAACCCTCGACATTTTCCCTTAGTTCATCATTCTCTCGACAATCTAACATGGCATCTAGAGCTAGGTATCGCACTCTCCTCACGCTTCCGCACTAGCACACCCTAGCCTAGCGCGCCTCGGCCCTAATTGCGCGCCTCGTAGCTCGTCCCCTCCCCGCCCTCTCCTTTTCGTCGCATAGCTCACGCCAGCCGCCGAACACGCACCCGCCAGCGCCTTAGTTCATAGCCGTCCCGCCTGCTCGCCTGCTCGCCAGCCCGCCAGCTCGCTTGCTCGCCATCTCGCACGCTCGCCCGCCCGCCTGCTCGCCTGCTCGCCAGCCCGCCAGCCCGCCTTCTTGCCAACCCGCCTGCTCGCCTGCTCGCCAGCGCCAGCCAACGCCAGCAGCCAGCAGCTAGCTTGTTGGCTCACCAGCGCCACCAGCGCCAGCAGCCAGCAGACAGCACCAGCCGCCAGCAACCAACAGCCCGCTGTCAACAGCCAGCAGCCAGCGGAGGCTACTGCCGCCCACTGCCACTACCAAAACTACTACTGCCCGCTGCCGCCTACTGCCGCCCACTGTCGCAACCACCACTATTGCAGCCCCTGTCGCTAGAGCTGCCACTGCCTCTGCAGCCGCCGTTGCTACTCCTCTCACCACTGCTGTTGCCCACCGTCAGCAGCCGGCCACCAGCCGCCAGCACCAGTCACCAGCCGCCAGCAGCCGACGGCCGACCCCCAGCCGTCAGCCGCCTGCTGACACCACTCGCGGCCAGCCGCCGACCACCAGCCGCCAGCGGCAGTCAGCTGCCAGCCACCAGTCGCCAGTCGGCCGCCTGTCCTGTGAGTCCCCCGTGCCCTGTGGACTGTCCTTTGCCCTGTGCCGCCAGTCCTAGTGCCTCCTAGATAGCTCCTCGGTGTACTGCTCCTAGTATATCCTCTTGCGCGTACTTCCTCCTCGTTTGCTCCCCACTCCTCCTAGCAGCTCCTAGCCTACCGCCAGCCGCCAGCTAGCCGCTACTGCCATCTTACTATCACTAGCCACTGCTGCTACTAGCCTCGTGCTCACTGCCATTGCTCTAGCCACAGTCGCCACTGCTCCGGCCACAATCACTACAACTCCGGCCACAGTCAAGACATTGCGGCCGGCTATTAATGCGTACTTGGGCGAGGTGGCTAGTGACGTCGATGATGCGTTGCGCATGACGTTGACGGAATGGGAGGAGGCGCGAGTCATCGAAGAGGAGATATTGGCTCCCTTTGCCATGGCAACCAAGGTGGTGGAGGGCTCCACATATCCCACCATCTCTCTATGCATCCCATTCTACAACCAACTCATCGACCATCTTGATTCTCGCATCAAGGAGAAAATTGCTTACTCTGCCGCATGTTGCAATGCTCTTACCAAGATGAAGGATTACTACAACAAGTCAACCGAGGAGCGTACCATAGCAACCGTTTTGGATCCGCAGTTGAACCTCGAGTACTACGCGGTGGGAGCACAAAATGCCCACGGCCATGTTTACACCGACACGATCAAGGCAATGGTCATCGCGGCATATCAAGCTTATGTCCCGCAAGGCACGGCCGGGGAAAGTGACCCATGCGGATCCATCCCATCCAACACATCTAGTAAGGAGCTCAATGACAAAACAAGCTCCTTTTTTAACCAAATCTTTTGGAGGACTGAAAGGGGCGGAGGTGAGCATAATGGGCCCTTGGCCCAACTCAACAAGTACCTTCAAGAGGAGCAAGTGACCTTGGAGGATTATACCACCTTCCACGATTGGTGGAGGGTTAACCAAGGTAGGTTTCCCCTTATCGCTAAAATGGCCAGAGATTATCTTGCTATTCCCGGTACCTCGGCGGACTCTGAGCGAGCCTTCTCGGTTGCTCGACACTCTCTTCAATCCGAAAGTGTGTGTGCGTGCATGTGCTTGCGTTCATGGAATAATTTGTAGGCATAGGATGGCTTTACTCTAGCACCTAGAGGTGTGTGTAGTGTAGGGGCTACGCATTGTTAGTGTTGCACGTAGCTTTGCTTGTAGGCATTATTGGGAAACTTCATAGCAAGGCAAGGGTCAAATAAAAGTACTAGTCATTGGCTTTCTAGCGATTCTTTTTAGGTTTGAACGGGCATGTAAGGATTCGAAGTAATACTCGGAATCGACTCGAACTTGACTCGGAATCGAGCCGAGAGAATCGACGAGTCAAATCCAGTCTACAATACTCGAAAAACGAGAGAGAGGGAGAGAGAGAGAGAGAGAGAGAGAGAGAGAGAGAGAGAGAGAGAGAGAGAGAGAGAGAGAGAGAGAGGGAGAGAGAGAGAGAGGGAGGGAGAGAGAGAGAGAGGGAGGGAGAGAGAGAGAGAGAGAAAGAGAGAGGGAGGGAGAGAGAGAGAGAGAAAGAGAGAGAAAGAGAGAGAAAGAGAGAGAGAGAGAGAGAGAGAGAGAGAGAGAGAGAGAGAGAGAGAGAGAGAGAGAGAGAGAGAGAGAGAGAGAGAACTCGAACTTGGACTCGAGACTCGTTGAACAGGTTTATGGATGAGGAGACACCGGGGGCGAGGGTGCAGGCGCCGCAGAAACAGGCAGCGCACCCTGAGCAGGAGGGCCCCCAGAGTAAGCAGACTCCTCCGCCAGGCCAACCAAGGAAGGGGAGTGACGTGAGACACACCAGATGGGGCAGGATAGGGAGGGAGGGGAGTGGAAGCTACCGGGGGAGTGGGGACAAGGATCAGGGGCGGGGTGACCAGGATACCTCGGTGGGGAAAGCAGGTGTAGAAGGCGACAGAATCTTCGAAGGTGATGTCATGTGAGTGAAAGAAGCGGTGAGACGACAGTTGGTTAAAGTGCCAGTCAGACGCGTAAGGGGGAAGCCAAGGAAGACACAAGGGATGGTGAGGGCAGTGAGCTTGTTCGCGCCAGAGGCGCGAACGTGAGCGAGGCAGCCCTAGACGTGAAACGCAGACGCATCACCAGGGGACCCGGTCCAGAGGAGGGTCGGCAAAACCTGCGGCTGCTGAGAGTGTGGCCACAGGTTAAGCTGGTGAGCTGCGTAGCGAACTGTGAATGGCCACACAAAATGGGGTGCATCGGCATGGATCATGGAGGTACGAGCCACCTCCATGACCAAACCGATGAGTCGCTCAGCAACCCCATAATGCTGTGGGTAGTCCGGTAGTGTGTACGACTGGGTGATGCCCTCCGCGCGACAGATTTGGCCAAGCCGACCGGAGGCGAATGCACCACCACGGTCGGAGTGGAGACGGGGCACTCGCAGGGCGCAATGGAGGCGCGCAGCTACAAGCCACGGGATAAGAACGGCAAGGATGTCGGCCTTCCGCTCCAGGAGAAACACCGTGGTATAACGTATAGTCGTCTACGAGCACCAGAAAGTAGCGCTCTCGACGCGGCCGAGGGACGGGAACTGGGCCCTAGACTTCCACGTGCAGGGTCTGGAGTGGCGCACTGGTAGCGGGAAACAAGGAGGAGTGAGGTGCACGGCGCAGCCAGCCCTCGACGCAAGGGGTGCAGGGAGGCGCGGGCGAGGGATGGAGGGTGGGACGCGACGCAGGGAGACATAAGACAAGACTGTGCTGGGACATGTGACTTAGATGTGGGAGTGCGGGGTGACCTAGATGGTGATGCCACAGGAGCGACAGGTAAGTGAGTGACCGACACAAGCAAGCCGCAGCGTGAAAGAGAGAGCCGCCGTAGCGTCAGCCGGCGGAGGCATGAGCGTGGAGCCAAGGCTAAACAAGTTAGGAGGTCCTACGCCTGACACAGCATGGGAGCCTAGATTACACACAGCGGACACACCTACACGAGGTCCTACTCGACGACTTACCAGGCTGGGCCAGTCCAGAAGGTTGGGCGCAGGGCGGAAACAGAAACGGAAGAGGTCGTCGAGGCGGCAGTAGCTCTGGGCGGTGGTGTGACCAGTACGGCCACAGACGGTGCCACGAAACGGACCAGACTGGAGCTGGTACAGGCAACTCACAGAGCTGGAGCCGCCACTCGACGTCGAGCTGTGCGGGCCGCCACAGCGGCCACCACCACCAAATCTGCCGGGCCACCACGGCGGCGGGGGTCTCCACGTCTAGCGCTGCTGCTGCTGGGGCTGCTGCTGCTGCTGCTCCTACTGCTGCGCCGAGGCATCAAAATCGGCCCCATTGTCTGCACCATATGCACTCGCACCACCTCCACAACCTCCGCCACCCCCGCCACCACTCCCTCCACCGCGCCCTCCCTTGGGGCGATGGCCCTTGCCCTTACAAGGCTGTGGTGAGGCCGCCACAACGGTCTTAGCAGCAGAGGCTGTCTCGGCGACAGCGGCAGAAACGTTAGAGTAAGTGCACTGGGAGGGAGCACAGCCCTGGAAGATAGGGACTACCACAGTACCGCTAGACTGGGCTTTACTACGCTGGCAGGTCTCTATCGCGGACAGGGTGGTGACAAAGTTAGTAATCGTGAGGTCAGCACGGTGGATACTAAAGAAGGCATCGCGGACAGTGGCTAGGCGGTCGAGGAGCAGAAGGCAATATAGTTAGGCGAGCCTCAGTGCTAGCAGCGCGATAGCTAGCCTCAAGAGCGCATAGGTGAGTAGCAAGGTCAACGACAATGGGGAAGGAAGCGAGATCAAGGAAGAGCGAGGGCAAGAGGAGATGGCCAGCAGCGGCGGAGGAGGGAGTGGAATAGCGAGCAATGACGGCATCTAGGTAATCCTTCGCAATCTCTAAGGCCTAAAAGCGGGGACGCTCGAACAGGGGGAGCGCGTGACTGATAGCAAGCTGGCAACGGCGTCACGCGACTCCCAACCAGAGCGGGCAAGCTCAGTAGCGGTGAAAGCCTTACACTCAGCAGGCGTGGGGGCGTCAGGGAGGGCAGCATGCGAGGCAGGGCAGGGGAGCATACCGGCGACATGGACGGCCAGGGACTGGCGCTCGACCTTCATCTGGCGGCGGAGGTCGGCGAGCCACGCCTCAAAGTCGACCGCCCGACCCTCCGCGTCCAGATGGAGCACAGCATCCACCATCACCCACAGTTGCAGCAACTGAGGACCGCACAAGGAGGAGGAGCAGGGGGCAAGCAGGTGTAGTGGAGAGCGCTGAGGTGCGGTGGAGCTCGGTGGAGAGCGGTTGAGTGCGGTGGAGTGTGGTGGAGCGCAGTGAAGCTGCTACGGAGGAGACAACCGGCCGAGGCGCCGGCTCAGAGGGGAACCAGGGCCGGCGGCGTGGAGGGGTCGACAAGGTAAGCTGGGGTCAGCCGCGAGCTGGGGTGGCACGGCAGGCCGGGGCCGGCGGCGAGGTGGGCGGCGCGACGACCTGAGGCTTGCTGCGAGCAGGGGCTGCGCGGCGGCGAACTGGGCGGCGCGGCGAGCTGGGGCTGGCGGCGGCCAGGGGCCGGCGTCGAGTTGGGGCGGCACGGCGAGGCTGGGGCCGGCGTTGAGCAGGGGCCGGTGTTGAGCAGGGGCTGGCGTCGAGCTGGGACCAGCGCGAGCTGGGGCCGACGTCGAGTCGGGGCCGGCGGCGAGCGGGGGCCGGCATGGAGTCGGGGCCGCGCGGCGAGCTGAGGCCTGCGCGGCGATTGAGGCCGGCGCGGCGAGACGGGGCCTGCGCGGCGTGCTAGGGGCGGCGCGGCTAGACGGGGCCCGCGCGGCGAGCTAGGGTGACGCGGCTAGACGGGGCCGGCGCGGTAAGCCAGAGCGGCGCGGCAGGACGGGGCCAGCGCGGGCGGGCTAGGGCAGCGCGGCGGGACGGGGCCAGCGCGGCGAACAAGGGCGGCGCGGCGGAGCGGGGCCAGCGCGGCAAGCTAGGGCAACGCGGCAGGATGGTGCCAACGCGGCGGACTAGAGCGGCGCGGCGAAATAGGGCCGGCGCAGCAAGCTAGGGCAGCGCGGCGGACTAGGGCAGCGCGGCGGGACGGGGCCAGCGCGGCGTGACGGGGCCAGCGCGGCGGACTAGGGCAGCATGGCGCGGCCGACCAGGGCAGCGCGGCGCGGTGGACTAGGGCGGCGCGGTGTGGCGGACTAGGGCGGAAACGCAGGAGGGTGGGACCTACCTAGTCTGATACCATCTCAGAGTAGCAAAGTAAACTCAAGGAACGGGCATACAGGATGTTATAGGGTTTGGTGTTGTACCCTTTAAGAGCACGTACCCTTCTAGCCTATAACTATACATGTGCTACAAATGTATAAATTGGCACCCTCACACCGCTCCGAGCACAAAATTGGGGGTGATTTTTGGTGAAGGGCCAATCGGCGCCCTCATAACACTCCGAGCACAGACTTGGAGGGCCATTTAGCGCCCTCACAGAGC